CTACTTGAAAACGAGTACGAACGGAAATTTTCGGTCACAAAAATTGAAACCGAGTATGCGGTGTATACTTCGGTTCGGTGCAACTCGGTTCGGTTTTTCGGTTTTCGGTTCGGTTCCTCGGTTCCTCGGTTCCTTTTTCTCACCCCTAGCCACCCCTTTTAAATATTTTTACATAAAATTTTATGTGATTCGGTTATTTACCAAACGAAATATGAAATGTGGGCGTAGCGAAATTTCGGTTCGATTTTACCGATTTAACATCCCTAAATTTACCTCTGGATGAATTTTTTCGTAACATAATACATATTTGATGGGTGATTGTAATTACCTAACAGGGGTGAAGTTTCATGATTTCACTATAAGTTAGAGGTGGCCATAATTTGCTCAATTATTTTTTACTTTAAGATTTTTTTCAATTTTAATTGATTTAACTCACTCTTTATTGATTTAAAAGACTGATTTAATGCAAACAAAATTTATGAATATTTTAGTCATGTTATTTGTACAAGTATTGAATTTGTCTACATCTCTCGTATACTCTGCAAACTAATGAACGGAAAATCTAAAATGAATATTTACCTAATACGTATACATATATGATCAGTTGTTCTTTATGTTATCGAAAAAAAATCATTACCGTAAAAGATTCGACAAACCGATTCCTTCAAGCTATATAGAGAATCTATCAAGATGCCAATACTAGATCCCATGGATTAACAGCATAAATTGAGTTGTCCTATTGTTAATATCACCAAATAATTGGAGTTAATATTCTCGAATAACAGTCATTATTGAACTGTTAAACTAAGCTTAGTGATAATTACTTATTTTTTAATGAAATCGTTCGACTTGGAATCTTAATTAGTTTGTTTGTACCGTATGGTCATGAAATATGCTAAAATGAAACAATCCAATAATTTTTGGCATTTTCTTCGGTACATGAATTGAATTGGATCGACCTCGAATTCGAACTTTTTTGTTTTCCTTTTTTTTATTATATTTATAAATACTATATATTAATAAAAAAATATAATGAAATAAAATTTAAAAGATATACAAAATTTGAGAAAATAGAATTTCGATAAATTAATAACCATACTTGAATAATAATTTCTACCGGTCCCGACTTGGTAAAAATGTGTTAAAATATTCAATAATTTAAAAATTAATAGAATTTTGCTATTTCGACTGTATTAATTTATGAGTATTTAACTGCATCTACACTATATATAAATATAATCACCTCGTGTAGTTAAAATCTCTTATTTAGCTATATTATTTATCAATAAAATATAATCAATCAATAAGTTTATGGAGATTGTGTTTATTTCAAGCAATAATCTATAATGCAATACTAAATTATTAGTCAACTAAGCGTTAAGTTTAAAAATAATACTCCATATATATATACTAGAGTAACGTCATGAATTTTGTTATGCCATAAAGTACAATTTACTCAAGTTAATGTATATTCAACAATAAATAATTGAAGGCATAAAGTCAAAATTAATTATTGTGGAATTACAACAACATAATATGAAATCAATTTGATTAATATTGCAGCTGCACATGTGTTTTTAGAGTAGTTGAGAAGAGTCATGTTCAACTTGAATGCATACTCATTCGATTTTTTCAATTCGAGAACAATATCCTTTCATCGGAGAGGGACCAATCTATATTCAAATTAAATGAAATAATTCAAATATCACTTACATAACTAAAATATTTTACACGAGGAATATATATATATATATATATATATATATATATATATATATATATATATATATATATATATATATATATATTATATAAATATTTTGATCTAGGGGTCGATAAAAAAAAAAACCTATAGATTTATTATCAATTATTCGTGGGCCTTGATAGATGCAGAAGGACTTTTGATAGGTTGCATAGTATATGAATATGAGTATAATTTCGAAAACTCTTACCATTTAACAAGTTCTTTTACTTTCAATCTCGTAAATTGTCACGTTTTTTGATTTTATCAACACATAACTAATTTAAACTAGATAGACGACGATTATCTCGATTTTCAGGTAAATTTTTCATTTTTTCGAATATTTTTATAGTTATTTTGTGTTGGTCAACACAGAAACCCATATTGATTACAGATTCCATGCTAAACAACACGAAATTATAAAAAATAAAATAAATAAATAAAAAGACTGAAAATTAGGTTTCATTTTGAACGACGTGGAAGTAGTATTATAGTTCATTTTTTTCCTAGATATAAATAATTCAAGAATCGTATAATAATCATAAAATTTGCCTCAAATTTGTTATCGTATTAGTCGAAAATTAATGTCAGATTATTATTTTTGGTTGAAAGAGTTTAAGATACACTAAAGTTTTGAAATACGAACAATTAATAAATATTGAAATTACTCAGTGACCTATAAATATCATTTCAGATTATTGATTTATATGTTTATACTTCTGAAATTATAAAAATATAAATGAATTATAATATAATACCATTCATAATATATATATATATATATATATATATATATCAAATAATCAAAATACTGATATTAATTACTTGTTAAATCGGTAATCTATACATTTTCAGGCAAAGTAGTACAAGAAACAATTATGTATAATTAATTAGTCGTGTTAATTTGTATTATCATCTACTAATTAGCGGCTGTTATTACAGCACATATATTATATAGCTTGGGGACAACTCTATAGTTGTCCCAAGTTTATGTTTTTAGCCTATGGCAAAGATATTCATTGAGAAATCAGAGCAAAATAATTAATAAATAAATGTGTTTTCGTTCCTACATTGGAGGATCCGAAAAAACGTTCTATGTGTCGTGTCATCGAGTCGAAATTTAAATGCATACCGGAATTTAATTAATATAGCGTCTAAAGTCTTTACTTTTATCGATGAGCTCTATATGTGACATGCGACTTTTATTTGTCTCGTACAACATAATATTTTGCTACTTTTATCGGAGTAATAGGTTGTATGAATCAAAAAATTAAAACGTGTGTTAACAAACTAATCGCCAAAAAAAAGAAAAAAAAAAAAGATGAAATTATATTACATAAATGAGAGTTACTTTTATGAATAAAAATAATTAATGCAAAAAATATTTACAAAAATGCCATCAGAGTTGCCCTATTGGTATTTAATTTTATATATAACATTGTGATTTCAAATATATTAATTAATAGGGAAAATACAATTTACATCTCTCAAATTTGCATCGATTTCATCATTATGTTCTAAAGTTTCAATACTTTTAGTTATTTCCGTCAATTTTCCGTTAAAACTTACGGAATCAAGTGTGTGCCCATCACTGCCTTAACTAACGGTAAATTAACGAAAATGATCAAAAATGTTAAATTATTGGAACACGAGGGACCAAATATTTTTTTTATGAACATGTGTGACCAAATGTGAAATCGGTTCAAACTTAAGGGGTAAAAACTGTATTTTTTTCCATTAATTAATTGCTCTTTTACCTTCTCTAGTTTGACCCTCTACAATTGAACACATGTAAATCAATCATTAGCTAATGAAAAAAAATCAGGTGACAAAACTGTAACCATTTACCAACCCTAATAAAGTTGAACGGGTCCAAAATTCAAGTCCCTAATTCTCAAAATTTAAAAAAAAATTAATAATAAATAAAAAGAAATGGAAATTATGAAAATAAACCACCAATGGATGACCAAGAAACAAAATAGAGAAGCCAACACTTGAACAAACAAGAAAAACCCGGCTGGATGTTTAATAAATAAAAATAAAAAAATTACAATATTCACCCCCACCACCCCCCATCATCGCCACCCGCCACGTGTCGGGTAATCAACGGTCACCTCGTCAAGCCCACCAATTCTTTTGTTTGTGTCCTAAAGCATGGCCCTAGTCTTTGCTCTTAAAAAAAGGACATCACATGTATCGTGTAGTGAGAGAAACAAGAGAGAGATACACAGAGAGAGAAGAGAGAGAGTAGAGTAGAGAGAGAGAGAGAGAGAGTGTCAAGTGTGTGTGTATTTAGTGTGTGTTTTGTGGTGGGAGAGGATATAGAGATAGATAATCAAGTAGAGAAGGAGAGGCCAGGATTTGCTTATACAAAATCCTCACCCACAGTACAAAAAACCCACCCCCCGCCCCCTCGCCCCCCCGCCCCCCCCTTATCCTATCTTCAATACTTCACCTCAAAAACTCAATTACACTCCACCATTTCCATTTCCATTTCATTTGCATGGCTACCAATATTTCTTAAGCTCCCTTCCTTTCTTTTTCTCCAAAAAACACACCAAAAACACACACACACACACACACACAGTTACACACACAAAAAAAAAATGGCGCCGAAGTCGAGTAAGGGAAAGGGAAACAAATCCAAGAATGAGAAGAAGAAGAAAGAAGAGAAAGGTAATTATTATTTACAACTAAACCTTTTTTTCTATATATTTATATATATATATATATATTTCTATTTTTATTTATTTGTTTAGAAAAAAATAGAAATAAAAATCGGTTCTTGGTTCTTGCAGTTGTACCTAGTGTTCTTGATATAACCGTCATCACCCCTTACGAAACTCAACTCGTTCTCAAGGTACAACCCAACCACTAATACATACTCAAAGCTTATAACATTTTTTATTAATTAATTAATTATTATTATTTTATTTTATTTTAATTGTTTTTTTTTTATTGGCCATTCGATATGAAAAATGAAGAGCATCTCCACTGATAAGATACTGGATGTGAAGAAGCTGCTGGCTGTTAATACCGAAACATGCCACCTCACTAACTTTTCTCTCTCTCACGAGGTAATTAATTAATTATTATTTTTATTTTTATTTTATTACAACAACTAAAAGATGTAATAAAATCAAAACCAGCTTTTCCACACACACACACACACACACGTGCGTGTGTGTGTGTTTGGAATCTTGTTTGGACTATTGATTGGAATTTAATGAGCTACCTAAAATTAATTAATTAAATTAAAATTGACAGGTTAGAGGAACGAAATTGAGTGACAAATTGGAGGTTGTTAATCTGAAGCCATGCCTACTGAGAATGGTTGAAGGTAGGTACAAATTTCTCAACGATGGGTACAACTCCACTTGATTTTTTTTTTTTTTTTTTTTGGATTGTGTGGTGGGGTACTGAATTTAATTCTTGTAAAGTATCTATCAATGTTTTCCGAAAATAGAACGATAAATGCATGACGATTTTATTTAAATTTAATTTTAATTTTTAATCACATTTAACCGTTTGTCATTTCTTGAACTTTATTATTATAAATAAAACTCATGGATTTCAGTCTTATATATGAATTTATTACATTTTGTGTTGTTGAATTTCTAAATTTAAATAACGATTCTTAATTTTTAGAATTGAATTGGGATTTAATTAATAGCTAATAGGGAAGAATATATAGTATTGTACCACGGGGGTTGGCTGAATTAGTTAGTTCCAGCTAGCCTGCTGACATTATTGATTTATTTATTGCTTGGAAATTAATATCTTTAAATTTGTTACAATGGAAATTATTTATTTTTATTTAAAAAATTAAGGAATTTTTTATTACATATTTTTAATTTTTAAGGTAGTAAAAAAAAAAAAATCTTATAGAGCACGTGGTTTTTGATTTAATAGTTTATTCTATTTTTATATTTGTGACAAGTTCCGATGTCAATAACGGAACTGAGATTTGACCAATAGGATATTCCGTTAGCCACGTTTGTCATCACAACTTGTGCACCCACCCCACATTAATTGCCCAGATAATTCCCATTTTTTTACTAAATTGCCATTGTTGATTACAGAGGACTACACGGATGAGTCACGTGCGGCGTCCCACGTGCGGAGGCTCCTCGACATCGTCGCGTGCACGACGCGCTTCTCCAAACCCAAGGCCGCCGGCGGCGGCGGCGGGACGGAAACTCGTCCCAAAAAAAATAGTAAAACTCAACAGGTCGCTGCAGCGGCGGTGTCTCCGGATGGATTGTTGCAGTCGCCGGAAACTCCGCCGCCGGCGATATCAGGGAGTTACGATATGGTGGCGATCCACCCGATCCCGAAGCTATCGGATTTCTACGAGTTCTTCTCTTTCTCTCACCTCTCTCCACCCATACTACGTACGTTTATTTTCCGTGAGTGTTGATTTTGCAGTTGAATTTTTCAGTCAGTAACTTTTTAATTTTGAAACTTTCAGATTTGAAAAGAGTAGAAAGTAAAGTTGGGGAAACGCAGCGGGATGGTGATTTTTTCGAAATGCAGGTGTTTATTCTAAATTCTTACTCAGTTTAATTTTGCTGCATATAAAGTATTGCATTCGACTAGAAGGATTTAGAGTCCATATTTGAACTAGGTTTTGAGTGATGATGGTGGATTTGAAATCCATTTGTTACGAATTTATTTGCAGTCGAGCGTTTGAAGTTCATAATAATATGTCAATTCATCTTGTTTGGGTAATCATTTTTTACGAATTCATTTCTCGAATGACGATTGCAGATAAAGATATGCAATGGAAAGTTAATACAAGTGATGGCATCAGAGAAAGGGTTCTACAGTTTAGGTAAACAGTTTTTACGGAGCCATTCTCTGGTGGATCTTCTGCAACAGCAAAGTCAAGCTTTTGCCAATGTGAGTGGTTTCGATATTATTTTCGTACTGCAAAATCCAATATTTATCATATCAGCTTTCAGAATTCTAAAGATTAGAACATATATGAGTAGCTGGCAGTTAAGATCGTAAGAATTTGTTCAGACGATATGTGCAGGCATAATAAATCTGATATCTGTGTGCAGGCATATGCGTCTTTGATGAAAGCGTTTGTTGAACACAACAAGGTGAGCTTCCGTTTATTAGCTTATGCAACAATTTTTAGATACCGAGAGGAGAAATTAATTACCGTTATGCTCTTTTCAGTTTGGTAACCTACCATACGGTTTCCGTGCCAATACCTGGCTTATCCCTCCTTCGATTGCTGAGTCAGCATCACAAAACGTGCCGCTCCCTACAGAGGATGAGAACTGGGGGGGAAGTGGTGGGGGCCAAGGAAGATTAGGACAGTATGATCGTAGACCATGGGCAACAGACTTTGCAATATTGGCAAGCTTACCTTGCAAAACCGAAGAAGAGAGAGTTGTTCGTGATAGAAAGGCGTTTTTGGTTCATAATCTTTTTCTGGATGTTTCCATTTTTAAAGCTGTTTCATCCATTCAGAAAGTCATAGATTCTGCTGCTAAGGCTACGTCAGAGTTTCCTCTCGGATCCGTTGTGCACGAGAGTCAAATTGGAGACCTCTCTATTACTGTCAAAAGAGACGACGCAGATGCAAGCTTGAAAAGGGAACTGAAGATTATTGGCAGTAAAGGCTTGAATGAATCTGCCAAGGAAGTTTCTCAGAGAAATCTGCTTAAAGGAGTAACAGCTGATGAAAGTGTAATTGTACATGTGAGTAGCTTTTTTCACTGCACAAATTTTAGCTATTAATTCCTGCTCGTTTGCAATGAGTTCTTTGAAGCTACAACTTGGTTGTACATGAAGAAAGGTATATTTCAATGTCATACATTTTAAAGCATGATCCTACGTTTATCCAGAAGTTATTCTTGGATGTGTTATCATATCACGGTACCAAAAACTAAACAAGGCAGGCCGAGTTATGCGTGAAAAAACCTAAAATATTACGGTCCAGTATATCTGGAGTTTTTTTTTTTTTTTAAATCTTACAAATGAGGAATCCGGTGTTAGCTTAGCATGTTAGGTGCTATCCCTTCTAAATCTAGATATTATTGGACCACAAATGCTGCAATTTAAGTCAATCTGCAGTAATTAATCCCTCTTTTTTAGCTAGAGTGGCTTTGTTATCTGTGAGATTGAAACAGTCTGCCACCATTTGCAGGATACTTCTTCTTTGGGAGTTGTAGTTGTAAGACACTGTGGCTACACTGCAACAGTGAAGGTTGTTGGAGATGTAAAAAAGGGAAGGAGCCTTCTACAAGATATTGATATTGATGACCAACCAGACGGGGGGGCCAATGCACTTAATATTAACAGGTTTTAAAAAATTACCTTTGCTTATCGCCAATGCTGATATTAAACGTATGTTGTCGAAAAATCACAATAGATTGATGTAAAGGGGGTTACTTTTTATTCCTTAATTGTTTGCATTTCTGACACCGGTAGATGTTAGGTTGCTATAGTAGAATCTTTATGTGGCTAATGAATGACCCGTTTGTGTTATTACATTATACCTATTTTGTAGTTTCTGTTGAAAAAAGATAATTTAAAGCAAAGAGCAATACCTAAGCAGGCGTTTTATTCAATGATATATTACATTATATGGTCGGAGTGCTAATTATGAGATCTAAAATTTGAAAAATATTTCTGTCGGTGAACCAGTCATATGTGAAATGAACTAATCAGGGATTTTTTACAGTTTACGAGTGCTGCTTCATGAGCCAAGTGCTGAATCATCGGTCAGAGGCCAAACTGATACGAAGGATCTGGTCCAGAAAGTAATAAAAGATAGTCTGACAATTCTTGATAGTAGTCCAGCTATAGCAGAAAGTTGTTTCAGATGGGAACTCGGTTCTTGTTGGGTACAGCATCTTCAGAAGCAGGAAACACCAGCAGATAATAATTCTGGTAGTCGTAAAGATGATAATAAGGTTGAGCCTGTGGTTAAAGGACTTGGCAAACAATTTAAACTGCTAAAGAAAAGGGAAAACAAATTAGCGAGTGCCAGTGAGAAAGAAGAGGAGTGCCTAAACATGGAAAACAACATGGCGGAGATAAATATCTACGAGTCTAACAGTGAGTTGCTGAAATATGTTCCTGGTGACGCCTTCTTACGCTTAAAAGAAACTGGGATTGGCCTTCATACAAAGGTAATGTCTTCTTTCAGTATATCAAGAAACTTTATTATTACCATGTTGGAGGGCCTGGACTAATACGCTGTTGTGGTTTTGATCACATCGAAAGTAGATTCAACAAGTACTTTTAGTTTTACTTTGTTTAACCTAATTCTGAAAGCACTTCTATTCGGGATATTTTCATTTTCACATATAATTCAGTAGCATATATACTTACTATTCACCGACTCAATGTGCAGTCGGCGGACGAACTGGTCAAGATGGCACACGAGTATTACAATGATGTTGCTTTACCTAAGCTGGTATAATTTACTATTAGCTAAAACTGTTTTGAACTATCGAGTAAAACAGTACTTTTGCGCTCTAAACTTCTATGTTTTCTTTTTCAGGTCACAGACTTTGCTTCACTTGAACTTTCTCCAGTTGATGGTCGTACGCTGACTGACTTCATGCATCTTAGAGGGTTAAAGATGTGTTCATTAGGCCGTGTGGTGGGTTAATATTCTCTGATTCTCTTTCTCTGTGCGAGCATGCATTCCTCTGAATTTCCCATTTCTGTTTTGAAGTTGAAAATTAATTAAATTGTATGAACCAGGTTGAACTTGCGGATAAGCTTCCTCATATACAGTCTCTTTGTATTCATGAAATGGTTACACGAGCTTTTAAGCATATCCTTCGAGCTGTTATTGCTTCTGTTGGGAGCATGGATAACATGGCTACTGCTATAGCCACAACATTAAATTTCTTGCTCGGGTCTTGCAATGTCAAAAGCAATGACCCAACCGATCAAATTCTCAAATTGCACTGGTTGCGGGCCTTTTTGGAGAAAAGATTTGGTTGGAAACTGAAAGACGAGTCCCAACACTTACGAAAGTTATCAATTCTCAGGGGACTTTGTCACAAGGTACTGCTTAAACCAATTTCTTGAAAATCCTTGTGATTTGAAAGTATTTATTAAGTTTCTCCTTTTTAGGTTGGATTAGAGATAGTCCCTAAGGACTATGATATGGAAAGCTCCACTCCTTTTACGAAGTCTGATATCATCAGCATAGTGCCAATTTGCAAGGTATGGAAAAAAATCATAAAAAAAAAAGGAATTGAGATTATATATGGAAATGATGGCTTCTGAGTAACATCTCCTTTTATTTTATAATTTACAGCATGTGGGGTGCTCTTCTGCGGATGGTCGAACTCTACTAGAGTCATCCAAGATTGCACTTGACAAAGGGAAGTTAGAAGATGCTGTCAATTATGGGACAAAGGTAACATAATTATAATGTTCAACACTGTTCGTTTACTTACCGTTTTCATGGACCAGTGTTGTAATTAAGTTTAACTTGAAACTGAAGGCTCTGGCGAAGATGATAGCTGTTTGTGGTCCTTATCATCGCACAACTGCAAGTGCTTACAGTCTTCTTGCTGTTGTTCTGTATCACACTGGAGACTTTAATCAGGTAACTTGAAGATATTTTTTTCTGGAATGTCACAGAGCAGGCCTTATTAAGAGTATTGCAGCCTTTATAAGTCATGCAATGTTTTTGATTGATTAGAAAGCAGGTGTCAAGGTATATTGAAGTCAGCATTGTGTGTGTGTGTGTGTGTACTTCATTGCATCATTTCGTGACTTGCCGAATTCATTGCTCTGAAACATTCTTAATGCAGGCGACTATATATCAGCAGAAGGCATTAGATATCAATGAGAGGGAGCTGGGCCTTGACCATCCAGATACAATGAAGAGCTACGGGGATCTTTCGGTGTTCTACTACCGTCTTCAGCATATTGAATTAGCTCTCAAGTGAGTTGCATATTATTCTTTGATTTACGAAAGTCCTTTTCATTTGATCTGCAACTGTGTTTTCCTTTTTATTCATAATTATATACAAAAACACGTTCTAAATTCAGTTTCAAAACTGAAAGTCGTTTAGAATTTCGTGATAGAGCAGTATTTTCTTCCTGAATATATCTTACTTCGTATGATCTCGTTTTTTCTGCTTTTATATACATTCCTTTTGAATAATATAGATTTTCGCAATCAATCTTGTTATTCACGAGACCGCTTTTGGATATAGTCTCTCTCCTCTGTATTATAGAAGATTTTCTCTCTCTTCTTGTTTATTGCTTATGATCTGAATCTCACATAATTTTCATGACCTTGGGCAGGTATGTCAACCGTGCCTTGTACCTTCTTTATTTCACATGTGGGCTTTCTCACCCGAACACAGCAGCTACGTACATAAATGTAGCTATGATGGAAGAGGGCATGGGAAATGTTCATGTTGCTCTCAGATATCTGCACGAAGCTCTTAAGTGCAACCAAAGGCTATTAGGAGCAGACCACATACAGGTTTGTTTCAATCCTTTCGATATCTCTAAATAAAACATGATGTTTTCTAACATACACGATCATGTCTTGTGAAACAAAGAGCTATTTACATGCATATGTTTCTGAATATTCATAATGTGAAATTTTGCTGGGCCCCACAGACTGCTGCTAGCTACCACGCCATCGCTATAGCTCTTTCATTGATGGAAGCGTATACCCTCAGCGTACAACATGAACAAACTACATTGCAAATTCTTCAGGCTAAACTGGGAGCAGAGGATCTTCGTACTCAGGTTCACACAATTTAAATTCATACATGAATACTGTTTTTTCTAGTAATTTGACATAGGAGTTTTTTTAGTTTCATATGACATCCATTTTCCCTCTTTTTAAAAGAGAAGGAAATAATCACCTTCAAATATGAGATATACTTTAGTATCTGCAACTTATCAGATGCATATCACACGACAACTGTTTTTAAGAGATTATATAAGTAAGGTCTTTAATAAACCGTGTACCTCCAGGATGCTGCTGCATGGCTTGAATATTTTGAGTCGAAAGCCTTAGAACAACAAGAAGCAGCACGTAACGGAACTCCGAGACCAGATGCAACCATTGCCAGCAAAGGTCACCTGAGGTATTGATATGGTACTTCCATATTACTTTAGTTTTTTAACCTTCTTTTTCATACACTGACAAACCATTGACTCTTAAACTTGTTATTCAGTGTGTCAGATCTCCTCGATTTTATAAGTCCAGATCAGGAGTCGAAGGCTGCAGACGCTCAGAGGAAGCGCCGTTCAAAGGTATTGTTTTTCCGTGTTTACCAAAAAAAAAAGTCCGGGTTTCTAAATTTACACTATCATATACCATTTTTAGGTCCACCCCATTTATACCCCTGGAATTTATATTATAGGAGAACATTTTAAATGAATGAATGGCTCTGTGTATCTTTGTCGTCATGTTTGCTCTTAATTAATCTTCATTCTAACTGAGCCCATGTTTCACTCAACCTGACCAAAAAAAAAGGTGTGTTCATTTTATTAGTTCTTCACTTGTTCGTCGGACAGAGAAAGACTGTTCTATTCTATTCGACGAATTAACCTCCGTTTGCCTTATGATCTCTTAGGTTTCTCCAGTTGGTGATAAATCCCCTGCAGAACTGCCCGAAGAAAAGAGTGGGAATACCATTAACACTGGAGGTACAGAAATCAGTGCTACAGTGGAGGAAACTAGCAGCAAAGAGGATAAAGTAGATACTAAATCCTTTCGAGAAGTATCCAAGGAGACTGAAGCCCGATATAAGAGTCCAATTTCCGAAGAAATCATCCAAGAAGTAAAGTCAGAAGAAGGGTGGCAAGAAGCAACTTCTAAAGGGCGGTCAGGAAATGGAGCTTCTAGAAAGTCCAACAGAAAGCGTCCAAATCTTGCCAAATTAAATATAAACGCCACGTACTCGCACTATAAGGACAGCGGTTACAGAAAGGAGGCTGTTTCTCAGGGACAACAACATAAGCCCGCATCAAAGACGGTGTCTGCCGAAGTGACTCTCGTGAAACAACCTGGTACTCTAAGCTTAGCTAACACCGACGATTCAACAAAAGTGCCTGCGAAGATTACAGTGTCCAAAGTTTCTCTCAATGCATTAGCTTCCAAGTCACTGTCGTACAAAGAAGTAGCAGTGGCTGCACCTGGTACGGTTCTCAAGCCCTTACTGGAGAAAGCCGAAGAATTAAGTGACGAAAAAGATGATAACCCGATATGCAATAGTCCCAAAACGACAACTCAGCAAGACAATGTTGCAAATGGAGACAGTGAAGGTGATATTCACGACACTGGATCTGAGTTGCCTCGTTCTCAATCGGAAATTTCAAATTCGAGTAACGAAGAGAAGCTTCTAGAAACAAACGGAAGCAAACTCTCAGCCGCTGCACAGCCATTCAGTCCAGTTGCAGTTGTGTATGATGTGATAGCCAGCCAAGGCACACTAACCGAACCTGTTCAATTCCCATCGGTTACTGCACGAGTCCCTTGTGGTCCTAGATCGCCTATGTATTATCGAACGAGCCATACTTTCCGAATGAGACCTGCCTTCCTGAATTACCAAATTCCCGTTTCGGAAAGAAATGGAAATGGTTTTGTCTCTCCAAAAACGATGAATCCTCATGCACCAGAATATGTTCCGAGAAAAGCATGGCAAGTGAATGCGGTTACCGAAGATTCAAAACCTGCTAATGAATCTGATTCTTCTACAGATTCTGATTCTGTGGTTCCTATTAGTTCTGGAGGTGAGAAACGTAATAGGAAAATTACGAGTGATGTTCGAGGGGAGAGATCCAAGAGAACCACCAGTACCGATGCAGAGAAAGCCGAGCTGGCGAGGCAAATACTACTGAGTTTCATAGTGAAATCGGTGCAGAATACTTCGGATTCCCCAAATGCAGTGCCGGTTAATGAAAAGAAGTATGAATCTTCGAGCAATTCCGCCGAAGCAATTGCAAACGACAGTGCAATAATCAAGATTTTTTACGGGAATGATGAGAAGACAGCGTCAAATTCCGAGACCAATAGCCAGAAAACGGTGGATTCAAATAAAAACAAGAATCGAGATGGGGAAGGATTTGTGCTCGTCACGAAACGGAGAAGAAACAAGCAGCAATTCACAAACGGCGTGAACGGACTGTACAGTCAACAACAATCAATCTGTGCTTCAGTACGTTGAAGAGAGAGACAGAGAGAGCATCTTCTATCCTTCTCATTCATGAAGATATTTCAAAAAGGGCATAAAAATGTTCAAGAATGAAGTCTATGCCACCTCATATGCTCTCAACTATACGCAATCCTCATAATCGATGAAATTGCATGCATGACAGAGAGTTTGCTCGGTAGAAAGATTTTTGTTCACCGATTCCTTGATTGTTTTTTCGCCTTTTGAAGTTCGGATTTTAGTCCTTTTTGAAGCTTTCCAGCTTTACCTAACTTGATGAAAGATTCATCAGAAATGCATATTCTTTTTTTTCTGTAGTATGAAATAAATATTATGTTGAACAGTACTTTTTTCCCTTTAGTATTTGATTTCATGAGTAAATAAAGGAAATGAATTTGACCTCTGGATTTTGTCTAAGCTTTACTTCTTCTCGTTAATTGTTCGTACAGGAAAAGTGAATTGCACGTAAAAGATAAAGAAGGACAACCCAAAACTAGAAGCCGAGTCTAGTTAAAGAAGCATATGAAATCCTAACAAGGAGAAAATGCCATTCGCGCCTTACGTCGTACGACGACACGAAGTAAGACCATAGCTGTGAAAAGTTGAAAGTTGCAATCATAAGTGAAACACGTTTACTAAGCAAAATTATAGTTTATTGCTGGAATTAATTTCATTTTACAGTGTTAATTTCCAACCTTTTAGAAGTTTGAAAAATTAAATAAATCTTATCCCGTAGCAAATTATTTATTGCTGGAATTGAATTTGGCCGGAATTTTTTTTTCAAATTATTTTGAAATTTAAAAATTCTGATCCCCCAATGAAAAGTGGAGTGACCATAATAATTACGAAAAACGGACTCATTAATTAACAAAGCAGGATGAATCCTAGCCGTTGATCTGACAAAGAGAGCATTTACTCATTTTGCACTTGCTTGAAAATATTTAATTTCTCTATCTCAAAAAAAAAAAAAGAAAAAGAAAGTATTAATTTCTCATGTGAATGCCAGACTGCTGCTTTTCTCATTCACCTGTGAATTCTGATGGAACAATTTATTCACTCGTAATTTTACTATTTTTTAATGTTTAACTACAATAAATGCAAAATTATGATATTAGTTGATGAAGATTTAATCACAATCGCTTTTGTTAATTTGAAGCTACGGAGAAACGTTACATATATATATTATGTTGCCTCGTTCCAAATTATTTGTCATTTGGGAGTTTTATTTTCAACTAATTTGATACTTTTGGTTTTCAATGGCCAATTAATTGCATTTTTCTCAATTTTGTGCTTATTAATCTTAATTAGTTACAAATGATTATCAGTGAATCAATTAATTAGAGGGGTATTTTAGTCACTTTATATGTTCTTTTTTACCCTAGAACCATCATATTTTTACTTCCTTTTTTTTTTTAATACATTTTCATAGTCCATAACGACATATATTTTGGCACGATAGCATACCATCAAAAAGTTTCGAGTTATTTTGAATAATATTTAATTATATATACTAATTCTCCACTAAATAATTATATAATTAGTAAGATATATGTTTTCTTATATGAGGTCGTTTATTAAAAGTGTTAAGAAGAAAAAACTTATTATACATTTATATATATATATATA